CAACATTATATTCAGTTGTGTCAACCATGTTCTTGGAGGTTCTTTAGGTACCTATAAGGGCCTTCCTGCCCCCCACCCCCAGATCTCTGCAATTGGCTAAAAGGTGGGTAATTCAAGCTAACGGAATTGGTTCTCCACTTCCTCTATCAAGTGCAGGAATAATCAGGAAGTCTGGGCAGTTGAAACTGAATATAATGTTGTGGCCCACCAGCGGCCAGTCGGACAGTGAGGAGGTTGGGGAGGAACATGGGCCAGTCCTGGAGGCTGGAGAAGGCTCGGACGAGGGCTCTGTGTCGGAGGCAGAGAGGGGGACGAGGCCATCTGGCAGTTCTCAGCTGCCTTCGGAGCTAGACAGCAGTGAGGCAGAACAACAGCTGGAGACTGTTCCCAGTGTGGGCATGCGCAGAGCTGCCAGACGAATAGAACAGCCAAGAAATCAAGGTTGACTTGGGAGTAAAGCCACAGGTGGATGGTGAATGGCCCCTCCCATAGGAAATAAAAGAGGAGCAAAGGGGGTGGGGGGCTTTTGCAGGAAACAATTCATTCATTTGTTAGTTCGTTTCAGGAGTGTGAAGATCTGTCCGTGAATTTCAGAGACTCTGTGCCCGGTCTTTCCTTGCACAGCACAGCGTTTGGGAAAATATTGACCTGGCAGCTTTCCAAGCTAGATAAGGTCTGTGATCATAAATACTCCTTTGAAAGACTGTTTGCCAGGCCTTGGCTGAACGTGAATGAGAGGAATTCACCTTCGTTTAATAAAAGGGGTTTTGTCGGGACCAGGAATCTGCTTTGTGCTTTTTGGGGAAGCCTCGGTCAGAAACATATAAAGGTTTAGTGCAAGCTCTCACTCTCTAGAAGAATCTGAACTACTAATGGCCAAAGCAAATTGGCGGTAGATAAGATTCAAAAGAATTCAAGGAGGGCTGGATTTAGATCTCTTTTGGGCACGCAGGAACTCAAGGCTGATGATATATTTGACCCCTCCTTTCGGGCCTGGTCATCTCCTACAATAACCTCCTGATCTCCCCCCCCCCCAAATCAGGTTTAAAAGTAGCAATTTGAACTACAGGTAGTCCTCAACGTACGACCACATTTGAGCCCCACATTTCTGTTGTCAAGTGAGACATTCATTAAGTGAGGTTTGCCTCCTCTTACGAACGTCCTTGCCGCAGCTGTTAAGTCGATCCCGGCAGTCCTTAAGTGAGTAATGCAGTTGTTCAGTGGATCTGCTTTCCTCGTCAAGTTTGCATCGCGAAAAGGGGACCCAGCAACGGTCACAAGTACGAGTCCATCGCCAAGCTCCTGAATTTTGATCACGTGACCACGGGGATGCTGAAACGGCCATAAGCGTGAACAATGGTCGTAAGTCACTTTTTTAATGCTGTAGTAGCTTTGAACGGCCACTAAATGAATTATCGCACGTCGAGGACTAACTGTACCTGGAAGGTTTGTTTAGTGACCATTCAAAGTTGCAGCAAGGTTGGGGGAAAAAGGGACTTACAACCAGTCCTGGCACTTCAGCATTCCCACAGTTGCGTGATCAAAATCCAGGTGCTTTGGAAACTGGCAGGGACTTACGAAGGTTGCAGTGTCCCAGAATCCGGTGATCACCATTTGCAACCTTCCCAGCTGGCTTCCCGAGAAGCGAAGTCGATGATGGAAGCCGGATTCGCTTAGCGACCATGTGATTCATTTAGCGACGGCCATGATTTGCTGAACAATTTTGCCCCAAAGGTTGTAAAAAAAAATCAGGCACGGCCCTATAAAACAACCACCTCGGTTAGCCACAGAAATTGTGGTCTCGATTGTGTTCATAACTCAGAGGATTATTCCTACTTAATATGCTTAAAGAGGAAAGAGTAAGCCTTATGAACCCTGCACACACACACACACACACACACACACACACAC